CCGGGGTAAGTGTTAGCTCCCTATGAACAATAGCTTTTTCCGTGGAGCCAGTCTGGCAGGAGGGCTTGAGCCTTAGAAGGCATAATGTGTCACCTTTCCAAACTGGTGAGGCAACAAAAGACAGACCAAGACGGATTGTTGGCCTGCCGGACAAACTTTGCCCCCACAATTTGCGGCCCGTACTGCAGCAGCAGCAGCAGCAGCAGCAGCAGCAGCAGCAGCAGCAGCAGCAGCAGCAGTTTTGACAGAGTTGTGTATTTTGTAGACACCGTGCAAACATGGAGTCCTCCATTGGGCAAGGCGTTGAGTGCATCGCAGTGGGTGTCTTGACACCAATGTGACAAGAAGGTTCATTTCGTTGAACACCAGCAAACCACACCATGCACAACGCAAGACTTCCACTGATTCAGAGGTTCTGTATTCAACGTGTGCTCGCTGTCGTTAAAGGCCGGTGACCACTGCTTGGTGTCCGAAGCCTTCAGCTGCCCACTACATGGGCATGCATGATCAAGTGGCCAGTAGTCGGCCACTACCACGACAAGCTTCTGGTTTCACGGTCTGTGCACCGAAAATTCCAACTGCGAGAACGGATACCCGAGATTGTCCCAAAGCCAACCTTCACCCGACCTTTTCCATGCTTCCTTCGCGGGCTCTGTGCCCGACAGACTGTGTCCTAGAAAGCTTATGCAAACCCCCAAGCCTGAGATGCGGCTGCAGGGTCCGGAGGTTACGAGGGGTGTTTGCAGGCCACGTTATCGACTTGCTGTAGCGTGCTTTCTCTCCTGGTTCGTGATATGCATCGGCATGCGATGGGCTAGTGCCATGTCGCCAGTTTCTCTACCAGCTGAAAAAGATCAAAGACATAGGTTTGGAGGTGCCGATGCCAGCAGAGAGAGGTCTATTCTTGGTTGCGGCCATGATGCGAAACACCGTGAACTCTGAACGTAAGGAAGAGAAGCGAGATCAGTTGGCAAAGTGCCCAGTCCTCAGGTGACTAGATGTTCTGTCCGAGAAGGTATGAGGTGGTGCGACATCCTCCAGCGTGCAAGCTTCCCGAACCTGGCGCGAGCCTTGCGATTGGTGAACACGACTCTTTGCGTGCAGAGGCTGGGAGACAGCAGTGAAGCATGCCCTGATAACAGTCCAGACCGCTCACTTGCCTGGACCTCGGCAGCGCACGCAGAAAGCTGCATCACCAGAGCTGATGCTGGAGGCCACCATGAATAGGCTGACCAGCAGGAAGGGGATTGTTCCACGTCTAAAGTTTAAAGTCAAAGGGAGCATGAGCTATGTGCACCCGTAGGGTCGGCAAACGCTGCCAGAACTGCTTCGCTGGTGCTTCGAACATTGAACTTCGAGGTCTCTGCTATACCAATCACACGACCTCATTGTGGGCGTGTGCGGCATATTCAGCAGCAGCCGAGTCCTCGGTGGCTTTGTGAAACCTGTCATGTGTCACGGAGGGTTTCATGCTGCACTTTCCTGCGATGGGCAGGCTTAGATGTTTGTGCGCAACTTCCTGCAAAGCCTGCAGTGAAGGCTGCAATCTGCACCGGGCACATATAGCCAATCAAGCCCTGCTGCTGGCCAGGCAAATGCAGACTCCAAGCCCTCGGGCAAATGATGCTCACGGTGCGACGTCAGCTTTTCGATTGAGAGCTGTCCAAAGCGCTGCTTGGCAATTGTGCCAGGATTGGAGCCGCATCTGTTCTCGCTACGTGAGCGGATGTGTGTCCCAGAAAACTGCACTGGCAACATCCAGTGCAGTCACATTCAGAGGTGAGGACCTTCGGGTGTTGTGAAACCACTCGGTGTGATGGCATGGTTCCACCCGTAATTGCCCTACCAGGCAAATGTCCGCAACTTTGGATGTTTAGCACGGGTGCCTTGCAGGTTTGGGCCGCAAGAGCCAAAGCAGGGAAGACCTGCTCCCGTTTGTGTGTTGATACAGAGGGCTGCCAGCATCCGCTGGTGCTTTTGGAGTCTCACACTGCCGGCCCGAGTGGCAAGGAGCTATATTCCCAAGCCTCTGCTATCGAAAGCGACGTGTTTCCTCGGCATCGGGCCGGCATCCTCTTTGTGAAGTGTTTGGTAGAAGGACGGAGGTGATAGTTGGGTGCACACCCCGCGTTTCGACACGAGGCCAAGCTAGGGATGTGCCCGATTCGCCCTGGCCCTTTTGAAGGGGCAGTCCAAGAGTGACTTGGGGAGGCCTAGGAGGGTGTGCAAAGTTCTTCATGATTACTTTCAGCATTGTGGCGATTGTGGTGCAGAGACGGCCGGGGACATGTGAGTCGAGGCTGCGAATGTCTTGTGACTCCCTGCTGGCTTCAGTTCCCCTCCACGCCACGAGACTCCCAGCCGCCTCGATCCCACTGTCTTGGTCGTCAGCCCGTTCCCTCGCCAGCCAAAGGTAAGACGTGTGGCCGAGTGCCCTTACAGCAGCAATATCGTAGTAACATAGTATGTCCTGCATGCCCGTCCATGAAGCGCCATGGAGCCCATGAGCGATGACATCGCGCTCGGCGCTCACCGTTTCAGTTCCTCGAATCCAGTGCTCTGAGCGGGTCACCGTGCTGTCCTCAGCTCACTTGCTTAATTCTGAATGCCTGGCACATGGACGCGTGTGAGAGACTTCTTGATGTTCAACTGCAGGACCTCAAGAATCGACGCCTGTTTGCAAGACATCGCATTCTCTAGGCAGTGCTGATCACAAGGAAGTAGGCTAGTCATGGGACATCATGGGACCCTTACAGCTGCATGTTTGGATTGCGGCGTCGCAGTTGCGCCTCAGGCATCAGACAAGCCGCGCTGCGAGACCCTTGCAAGCACACAGTGCTGAAGGCATGCCTTAGGCCATTTGGAGGCCTGGCCCAGACTTCTCAGCTGAGGCACGGTTGGAGCGGGTGGAAGTCCATGCTTTCGGCTCGTCGGTGAATGGCTTTGGAGACGAGACTTCGGACATTGACCTTGTGCTGGATGTGCCGGAGGTTGGCTTGAGGGTTAAGGGAACGCTTGCTGTGGCGGTACGATAGCATCGTCAGGAAATCCTTGAACAAGTAGTTTCGTGGAGCTACGTGCGTGACCTGATCCCCGTGACGCTGGACTATTTGTCTGACTACCTCGTGCAGGACATGCGGAGAAAGCTGTGCAAGCGGGACATGCGGCAGAGCTTTTGTGTGGAACTGTGAGGAGGGTTTCCAAGTGCGCGAGAAGGTTCTGTCCGCCAAGGCACGGTGCACCTTCGGTCCTCTGCTGCAAAGGATTGTGGGTAAGCGCATCTGAGGTTCCCATTCTAAAGCTCACCATAGATGGTGTCAGGTGCTTACCTCCACTAGATTGGACTTTTGGTCGACTTTGAAAGCCGACGTGCTGGTGCTTCCCAGGTCGAGTGCGATCTCTCGTGCAATAACTTGCTTCCAGTCTTCAACACGAAGCTCTTGAGCCTCTATGCAGTGCCTTGTCATAGGTGATGTTGCAAGCACCTACTTGTACGAACTGGCGCCGAAAGGGTCAAAGGTCTGCACAAGCCCCTGTAGGTCTTTGGCGACACTGAAGCCGAAGCACCACTGTCTATGAAGCAATATACTGAGTCCCATGAGACAAGAGCAAGCAGGGAAAGGGATCGCAATCGAACTGGTTTCATGTCGACACCTCGTGGGCGCACAGGTTTTGCAGCCGAGTTTGCACTGAGGAGAAGGACCATCGAGTTGTGGAGATGGCTAGACGGGTGAAGACCTGGGCCAAGAAGGAGGCCGGCAGTTTGCTCAACTTGTCAGAGCGTTCCAATCTGTCTACCTTGCAGGGCGTGCATGGTGCCACCAACGGGCATCTCTCCTCCTATACCTTCGGCTTGATGGTGATCTTCTACATGCAGCGGCGTTCACTGCAATTGGTAAGCAGAACCAGAGGCGGTTCGTGAGGATTTGTGACCCGTGTAGCCAAGGCAAAAGGGTGGTCTGCCGTGCCTGCAGACGAATGCGGACCATCACCCACAGTGGTACGGCGAGCGCAGCGGGCGGAAAGCCGGGCCCGAAGCGTTCCCGGGACGCGTCTTCGTTTCTATGGCACAGAACAGAGCCTCTCTGCTGCCCAGGCGTGGAACGTCTTCATCGATGAAGCACCCACGGCAGAGACCGAACTGCAGTCTCACCGGGATGCGGCGACTCTGAGCATCCCGGGCGGCAGTTTCTCCACGGATCTCACATAAGTCATGATACATCATGATCCTGTGCAGGCTGTGACAGTTCAACGGGATAGCAAGCTAAGGAGGCTTCGCTGAGTTCCTAACTGGTAGCCAGGACAGCTTCCCACAAAATCAAGCGTTAGACAGAGAGATAGTTCCCCAAAGCTTCTGTGCAGGACTTCCGCTGGGGACGGGATGTAATCTCCATTCGGCAAGGCAAGGTGTTGCCCATTGACAGCATCTGCTTCAGGACGCTTGGCGAAATGCTCGGTATCACATTCTTTTTCACGGTTTTCATAAGGCAGACGGCTAGAGATGGAAGACGGGGGGCACCCGATGATAGGTTGTACTTCGCCAGTAGAATCATGCGAGCGTACAGCACGACTCGAGCACCGGCCCGGATTCGAGCACCCGCGATTCGAGCACGCGTGATCGAAGCACGGCGGAAGCACCAACGAATCAAGTACCAGCCGCACTGGAATTTAGGGGGTTGCAGGGTTTGTGGTTCCCTGAACCGAGCCTTCAAGGTTCTAGGGTTCTGGTTTTGTTTCATATCTTATGTTTAGGGTTCATGGTTTCGGGGCTTAGGCTTTAGATGGCTTCAGGGTTTACAGGTCTGGCACAAGGTTGGGATTTCGGGTTTGGAGTATCAACAGCCAGGAGAGCCGAGCACTGTAAGGTCTCAGGCTCGCAGGGTTTAGGATTTTACAAACTTCCAAGGTTCAGATTCCAGTCTTTCTCGGGTACGAACAGCCACGGAGAGCCGAGACTTACGGGGTTTCGGGTTTAGTTGTTTTTGTTTCTTGTTTTTTTTGAGGCTTTGGGATTTCAGAGTTTAAGGTTATTTTGAGCTCACAGGGTTTTAAGGCTTAGGGATGTTGAGGCTTTATGGGACATTCTACTCCTCAGCCCAACCTGCGGGAATCCTGTTGTTGCACGAATCCATGGTGCTCGAATCAGCCGCTTTCCGCGCGCAAACTCTCTGCCGGAGCGACTCGGCCTCCCACTCTGCGAATCGTGGGCGCACGAAAATGAATCGGCCGCTCTGCTCGAAACGGCTGCCTACGATCATGCTAGACCAGACAAGCGGCTCGAACCAAAGTCCAAGACTCTCGATTTTTCATTGCCAGTCCCGAAGTTGTTTACTCAGTCCCATGCTGCCCTTAACAAGCGAGAGATGTCGCCCAGGGAGCTGAACACAAGATTGCGAGACTGGGACGAGAACCTCTTGCACATCGAGGTGCCCTCTCTTGTCCTGCCACCGGCAGCAAGCAGAGCTGCACCGAGCCGAGGACCCTTTCGACGTCTCGCGGAACCTGGCCTGCGTGTTTTCTCCAGGATCCAACAGGACTCGACATGCTTTCAGTGCTGTAAGCGGGGCATCGAAGTTGCCTGAGAAACTGGTGAGCAGATGTCTCCCAAAAAATTCAGATGTGACAACTTCTAGACGCATCGAAAGCCACATGGGTTGCTGCATTGCCAGGAGGCTTTGGAATGCTTTGAGACGGCTGGCAAAAGAGCCCGGCGCTGCAACACCTGTGTCTTACCCGGCCGGCCATTTTCAATCTGAACCTTCGAGAGCGGCTGGTAACTCCATGGCGAGCCTCGGCCTGACTTGGGAGGTTCGCCCTTTATCATGATCTGGTGACACAATTAGCATAGCTCTGGCCCTGACCCGCGAATCGCTCCCCCGAAGTTTCTTGTAGATGATGGTGATGGGATGTTTAGCACTAGCGCATCATCTGCCCGGTGGCTTTCGCGGCTCGCATCTTCGACATTTGCGGGTTGCTTTGCCCTCCCGGTTTCCCGCTCCTAGAATGGAGTCTTGGTCCGAATATTCGTAATGGTTCCATTTTGGGCCAACTGCCGGCTGTTGTTGACTAGGTGCTGCATGGGCTAGGGTTGAAGCAGACATTGACAGGCTCCCTACACCAGGCCACGCAGAATTTCCTGGTGGTTGGGCTATCCGGGTCTTGCAAAGGTCATTGAGACGGCTGTTTTTGGCCGAGTCAGCATGTCAGTTGGCCTGTAAGACGAATCAGCATTGCACGGTTCCTCGCGGCAGCAGAGCAAAATGCCAAAGGTTCCCGGCGCCAAGCGGACCTGCCCAGCCTGCTGTGTGCCTTGACTAAAATGGGCTTTCAGCTTCGGTAAGCGGGAGCTCTGTCGAGCGTGATTCTGGGTTCCACTCAGGCGATACTTTATGCTGTCAGCTGTTAGCTTCCAGACGATTATGTAAGGATTTTCGAGCATAGCAATTTTCATGTTGTACGTCTGGGTCTAGGTCCAACCAGGTAAAGCGAGAGCTCGTGGGCTCTCGTAGAGTCTCGCAGTCTCGCAGAGTGTCGCCACTTAGTGGGAAGAGCTGCCGGGTTCCAGGGAGGCTTTGCAACGCCAGGCTTCCCACCACTAGGCCCTAGGCAGAGGGGAAGCGGATCTGCTCAGGTTGCCGGGCTCAACGAAGCCTGGACGGAGAGAGGATCCTGCCGAGACCGAGACATCGCCGTGTCCGGGCTTGAACCGTAGCCCGCAGTTCATGCCTGGGAGATTGGCTTTAGGTTCAAAGGAACTGTCGTCAGCGTTTCGTTGGACGATGCTGCGGACACAGCAGTGGGAATGGGCATCAAGAAGATCGTGCGTTGAAACCATGCGGTGCGCGGAATCAGACTTGCATTCTACCGTGTAGCCTTCAGTCGAGACCACCCAGACATGCGAGGGAGGCCGGAAGTCAGCGGCAAAGCCATGAATGAATTCTCCTAGATGCCGTCGTATGCTCTGTAAGAACAGCGTTGTGATTCAGCCGCTGTGCCTTCAAGCAAACCAGTGGGCGACCAATCAAACGGTGTGTTTTTTTTGTGGTTGGCGCGACTGTGTCAGCGAGTGTTGTGATACTCATCAGCAAGTGCCCTACATCATTGAAGCTCGGATTCTGCGGGCGTGGTTGTGCTGTGTCAATAAGCTTGCATGCTTCGGAATTCCACGTTTCTAGGCTTTCCACCGTTTGGTATAAATTTGCCCTGCCAACAGTCCCAGCATCGATTATCCCGAGGCCAGCAGACACCTTCCTCATCAAGCGCAATCACAGCGACGACCCGGCTTCAACAGCCAGGCTTGTTCTTGCACGAACCATGATCTTTCGAGCCGACGCCCTTTGCGCCTAGGGGATTCTGGGATGAGTCACCCGACACACTCATTTGCACAGCTCATGCTGCAAACAGTGATTGCACAGGTCAACACTGCACGCAGGGTCACGTGTGTTGCACGCTCTCTGCAGATTTCTTACATGGTGAACATTAAAGACAAGGCTTGCATGGGTAGCAACCGAGCTCTTGGACATGGAGCCGGAGGTATATGACGTGTTTGCACCGTATCAGAGAAGAAACATGCACCATGGGTATGCCGCATAATGCCGCTATGCCCTTCTCCGGCCTGGTGCCTGTGGTCTTGTGAGGGTTCTTGGGGCTTCTTTGTCTCCACCCCACAGGCGCCTTTGGTGGGTTCCTTAGCGTGTTCGACGTTCCTGTGCAGAAGAAGCGCCGGCTGTCATGGAGATCATGACATCGGTGGTTCGGCTCCGGTTCGAACCGCTGTCAAGAAATCCATGACTGCACCAACCCCGGCGACCATGGGAGTGTCCAGCATGACAATGATCCCAGCCTCCGGTGATACTTGAGCACATGTGTACGGGGAGGGTTGGACGGCAGCATCGATCATGCATGGCCTCTGTGCGTCCTTACATGCATGTACGCGTGAAGTTAATGCGAAAAGCTTTCTGGGATCGTTGTGGGACCGAATCGGAGAGGAGGTTTTGTGCACAGGCCTCTCAATGTTTTTCTGCTTCCCCATTTTATTTACGGCACAAATCAAGAACGTTGTGTGTGCGATCATGTGGTATAGGCTTCCATGTGGGGCATCGCATCCTTCGGATCACAGAATTGTCTTCGAATGAATTGGAGAGAGGGTTGGACGGCACCATTCTTCATCCAGGTCTTGCAAAGGTCATTGAGACGTCTGTTTTTGGCCGAGTCAGCATGTCAGTTGGCCTGTAAGACGAATCAGCATTGCACGGTTCCTCGCGGCAGCAGAGCAAAATGCCGAAGGTTCCCGGCACCAAGCGGACCTGCCCAGCCTGCTGTGTGCCTTGACTAAAATGGGCTTTCAGCTTCGGTAAGCGGGAGCTCTGTCGAGCGTGATTCTGGGTTCCACTCAGGCGATACTTTATGCTGTCAGCTGCTAGCTTCCAGACGATTATGTAAGGATTTTCGAGCATAGCAATTTTCATGTTGTACGTCTGGGTCTAGGTCCAACCAGGTAAAGCGAGAGCTCGTGGGCTCTCGTAGAGTCGTAGAGTCTCGCAGTCTCGCAGAGTGTCGCCACTTAGTGGGAAGATGAGCTGCCGGGTTCCTAGGCCCTAGGCAGAGGGGAAGCGGATCTGCTCAGGTTGCCGGGCTCAACGAAGCCTGGACGGAGAGAGGATCCTGCCGAGACCGAGACATCGCCGTGTCCGGGCTTGAACCGTAGCCCGCAGTTCATGCCTGGGAGATTGGCTTTAGGTTCAAAGGAACTGTCGTCAGCGTTTCGTTGGACGATGCTGCGGACACAGCAGTGGGAATGGGCATCAAGAAGATCGTGCGTTGAAACCATGCGGTGCGCGGAATCAGACTTGCATTCTACCGTGTAGCCTTCAGTCGAGACCACCCAGACATGCGAGGGAGGCCGGAAGTCAGCGGCAAAGCCATGAATGAATTCTCCTAGACGTCGTATGCTCTGTAAGAACAGCGTTGTGATTCAGCCGCTGTGCCTTCAAGCAAACCAGTGGGCGACCAATCAAACGGTGTGTTTTTTTTGTGCTTGGCGCGACTGTGTCAGCGAGTGTTGTGATACTCATCAGCAAGTGCCAAAGGTACCCAGCGCCAAGCGGACCTGCCCAGCCTGCTGTGTGCCTTGACTAAAGTGGGCTTTCAGCTTCGTTAAGCGGGAACTCGTTGTCTTCGCCTCAAAGGCCACTCAAAGACACAAGCCCCGAAAAAACTATCTGCGTGGAACGATATTGCACACTGTAAGCTTTTAGCTGTTAGCTTCAGGACGATTATGTCAACACAATTGGCGTCATCGGGCCCCCTCTTTTCCCCTACTGTACCCGTTGCCCTGATTGATCTCGAACCTAGGAACTGCATACAGAAAGCCATGCATCAACATCAAAACTGCACTGGCAAATGATGAGTGGTCGCAGGGACGTACCGGAATCTACGAAGTGTGTGTTAACCCGGACGCTTTGCGGGCGATACATATGCTCAAGGCCACCACCCCAACCGGTTCACTCGATCGTGCGACAAAAACCTGCGCAAGAGGAGTTCTAAGCGCCGTTGCGGCTGGAACACCACATTAAGCTGACGTACTACTTTGCGTATATTTCGTGGCATACCGTAATCAGATCAGCTTCTTGAGATCCTACCAGCGTGGCCAGATCAGGAAGAGTCTGAGCATCAGCATCACGTTCGCAGGCTCTCGAAAGCGAACACATTCAGCGGGGCGTTCTCACCAAAGGCAGCTTTATCCCGGATTAAGCCAGTGCCGGAATTCCGCACCAGTGCCAGAAGGTCATTTTTCCACCCGGGTAAGGTGAGCATTCCCTTGGGGCTTCAACCATGCCTGCATCGGGACATTCACATACACGGAAGCGGTGGTAGAGGAGGCACGGCATCCGCCGGTCCTGCCCCAAAGAGATCTTGCTTGGAGGTGAAGGTCCAGGCGGCACGTGGCCCCTCCACCCTAGGCAACCAAGACAGAGCGCCCAATGCTGCAATGATGTCACCAGGGCTTGCCTCATGGCCGTGTTTCGCCGAGGATGAAATGGGTTGGTTAAGGCCATTCTTGAGCAAGGCGGTAAGTTTCAAGATATTACTTGCCAGATCGGATTGCAAGGACTTGCCGGGAGTAGTGACACGAGGTCGCCATCCAGAAGTTCGCAGGTGATCAGCGAAAGCCTTGAGTTGTTGCTGCGTTTTTTGAGTGGTTGCAATACGTCCACCAATGGAGACGCCCGTCCCGACGAACTCGAATAAAGCATGGACTTCCGAGTGCATTGTAGCGGCAACTGTCATGATACGATGTGTGAGCTGACCGTCCTCGACCACCACGAGTTGGGAGATGATGTGATCACGATCAACGACAGTCATTTTCCCATACTGTTCGCCGTCATCACACGGCGCAGCTCCCTTGCTGAATCCGAAGAAGTCATGGAGGTTCGGTTGTACCTTGAAAGATTGTGACAGCTGGGCTACCCTGCGCAAATGCTGTGGGCTGTTGGTTTAAGATGCAGACTTCCAGTCGTGTGCCAAAATCCCGGGGATGTCCCGCAATGCCAAGCAGTAGAACTGATGCGGATCAGGCGGGACTGCAGCTGTCATAGCGCTGGGTTCGCGCTTAGGTTTAAAGGAACCCCAACCGTTGGGGCCAGGTTGGTTTGCGAAGAGCCAGACATCGCGCCTGATGGAGCGAGCAGTGTGGGGGATGCAAACATGGTCATGCCCCGATTGTTGGCGGAGACGCGAGCACGCCCATTGCACCGCGTCCAGGACTTTGTCACAGGGAGCTTCG